CGACCGTGACGTGTCTTGCCCGCCTTAGTCTCCCAAGAAGGTCGGCGATGACATTGCCAAGGCCACGGGCGACTGGAAGGGGCTGCGGATCACGGTGAAGCTCACCATCCAGAACAGGCAAGCTCAGGTACCAAACGCCGAAAGGGGGGCGGCTTCGTGGTGCAAGCGTCAAGCACAACCGGGCTCTGCTTGCTCGAACCACAAGCTTAAACCCTGGCAGGGTTGACTCAGCCCTTCATCCTTCCGAGGTGGATAAAGTGAGTTCCACACAACGAGCTGTGTGGGGGCCTTCTGGGAAAGGCCTTAAAACACCCGCGTGAGCCTTCTGAGCGCCTCCGGCTCAAAGCCGGCGGCGGGTGTCTTTGGTGAAGCCTGGGGCTTGCCAGGCCGAAGGGTCCCAGCCTGTGAGCGACGGGAAAAGATCTGCTCGCCTGCAGAAGTTGATCTCTCAGGCTGATGCGGATAAATTGTTCCTTCTACAGAACATCTGACTGGGGGGAGGGGAGGAAACTATTTCAAGCAACGTAGAAATGACAAGAAACCTCCTTACCTAGTTCTGTAGCCACCTGCCACTGTACCTGTCCTGAATTCCGTGGCTGGTATGTTCCAGTGGTGAGCTGAGAGGAAGCCCCAGTCCAGGAAGCAGTCCTCCTCTGGCTGTGGGGAGGCCTGTGCCGAAAGGCTGGGAACAAGTTTCCGCGTCACAAAAAAGCCTCGCGTACTAGTGAACTAACCAAAACGGCGGTGCGCTGGCAATAGCTTTCCAGGCGCTGACTGCTCTGTGGAGTGTTCTCGCTGGCTACTTAATTCTGCTTGGAGGGGGGGGAACATTAATCTCTCTTTATTTAGATTGAGGTTGTTCCTTCTGCCTCAGCTCTGATCATCAAAGCTCTGAAAGAGCCGCCTCGTGACAGAAAGAAGCAGAAAAACAGTAAGTTTTCATCTAGCTTTAGTTCTGAATGTGATTTGGTGCTAAGAGGGGAATAGGCACCTGCCTCTTGGATTATTCAGCGTAAACTGGCAAACGAGCGCCACGGGGCTGTATCCTGGGCAGCGGGGATTCCTTAAACGTCAGAGTACAGGCAACAGGTTGTACGCCAGCAGGGTTCGGTTTCTTGGGGGACGGGGTAGAACAGCCACCCGCCACTGTACCTGTCCTGCAATGCATTGACTGGCACAGTCCAGAGGTGAGCTGACAGAAAATGCCAACTTAGGAAACAGAGTTATTCTTCTTGTGGGTAACTCTGTGCCGAAGTCTGGGAACAGGCGTACTGATCGCCGTAGCTGTAAACTCTGGTTTCCATGCGGTCCGAGTGCTGGGAGTGGTGCTTCTCTAACGAAGCATGGGGGAGTGGAAGTGCCCCGTGTTTACGTGAAGCTACTGGTGCTCTTGCTCTCCTTCACAGTTAAGCACAGTGGCAGCGTCAGCTTTGATGAGATAGTGAACATCGCGCGGCAGATGCGGCACAGATCCCTGGCTCGAGAGCTCTCGGGTAAGTGCTGGGGTCGCGGGGTCCTCCCTCTGCTTCCTCTGAGTGCCTGAGCCGGGTGCTGGTCTGATTCCTGGGAGGACCCCCACAGCTGTGGGGTGGTGGCGGAGCTCCTGCAGCTTGGCCACTCGGGCACTGAGCACCGCAGGAACTGCCTTGTGCAGGCTGTGTGAGCCGGCCTCGTGCCTTCTGGTGAAGGTAGTACAGGATGGCGAATGGTACATGGCAGCAGCTGTGGTGCTTTCTGGTGCATTCCCTGGAAACGAGTCTGCCAGACGTGGCTAGAGTGGCTCGCTGTCCCCCTTGTGAACCCCATGGCTACGGCCTGCGAGCCCCAAAGGGAGGGAGGGAGGGACAGCTGAGGGCGGCGAGGAACTGAGTTCTCTAACGTGTTCTTCAGAGTTCTTCCCGTGGTAAAGCGCTGTGTCTTCCCACTGCAGGGACGATCAAGGAGATTCTTGGAACTGCCCAGTCTGTGGGCTGCAGCATTGACGGCAGGCACCCGCATGATATCATTGACGACATCAATAATGGTGCAATTGAGTGCCCAGCTGTAAGTATCCATCTCTGAAACTTGCTGTATTAGGCTATTTACTAAAAAGCTCTCTACTAATGAGCTCTATTTGCTTCTTTCAACAGAGCTAAGACTGCAGGAAAGAAGTTGCCCTGTGAAGGCTCCTTAAGGTTTTTTGTAGCACCTTAAATACTTAATAAAAGACCCAGCTGTGTGCAAGCAGTGCTCCTGGCTTAATTTGTCCTTGCCCCATGCTGCATGAACAGCAGGTTTTGGCTGGGGACCACCTGCCCTCTGCATCAACCGAGGTGATGGTTCTTACACAGACTTCTAAGCTGGAAGATGCTCATTTCCCATTTGCTGCCCTGAAATCGTTTGCTTGCAGCGACACTGAGCTTAGAGCAGCGGGAGTTGCCTCAAGCCAGCGCTCCGGTAAAGAGCAAGCATCGCTAACTTGGGGCCGGTGCAAAGCTTTCTGGGAGCGCTGTTCTTGCCGGTGCCACGTGCGCAGCTCTGGGAGCGGGAGGTGTTGCCCGTCATTAGGGCAAGCGCTGGAGCAGCAGCTCCGGCTTCCCCCGAACCACTACAGCCAGCACACCAACACGTGCTGAGGTTTGAAAATAACTTTGCAGGCTGCTGGCCTCGCAACCCTGTGCTAGAGCAGCTGCGAGTGCTTGTGGGGTGGAAGGGCCTTGTTTG